TAATAGTTATACACCGAGGGAGTTTCAGCACTTGCTCCGTAACCAACTGAAAAGACACAAATTCTATTGCCATGGTGTAATATCAGCAATTTGAAGGATTAATTTAAAGCATTATACCTTCATCAATGACGTTTTCCTTTACCATCACTAAATAAAACGTACATATAAACACATAAAGCCCACTATAAGGGGGGAGGGGGAAGCGTTTGAGGTTTACTTGATCTACCCTTGAATATAAGCAAGATGAATATCTGCAGATGTTTGGATTTCTAATTGTGCATCTAGTGGTTTGCCTTTGTAAGGGAGGTGAGCATGTATATACAAGCACTAACATTTAGGCTTAAAGAATTTGTCCCTGTGGGTTTGTGGATATAAATCCAAGCCCTTGAACGTGCAGGAGTAGAAGCACACAAGGTATGCTGGGGGTACACTTGCAGAGAGGTGAAAGAAGCCATAGTTTGAATGGGATCAGAGCTACAACCAGCTCATCTCACATGGAAATGCGCACGTAGGTCAATCATAGCCCTGCCCAGGAATCCTCAGTAAGCAATATCGCTTCAAATGACAGCTTCAGATATGACAACACAGAAAACAGAGGCACTTGTTTAGTATATGGCTTTAAATGGTTTGCAAGCCATCTGTGGTACTGCTGTATTTGCCTTCTATTTCTACTCCACTTGGTTTATTGATTGCATTTGCAGTTCTCTTCCTCAAAATGCCCCTCTTCCAACATGCAGTTTTTCCCCTGAATAGTTGTGGAGCTGATAGCTTATTAAAATTGATGAGGCTCTTTATGAGCACACCAGTTTGTTCAGTTCAGATAACAAAAGGACATTCTAAGTTATTGAAATGCCATACATTTTCTTTCCCCATGCTGGATTTCAGTACAGTACCATGACTACACTGAAATAAAAATATCATTTCAGACCATTTTGGTAACTAGAAAAGGGAATGTTTTGAATGGCATAGCTCTAAAAATCCTCAGTGTTAAAAATCAGATGTAATTTCTAACCTCTATTAGTGAGAAATAGAAGAGAAAATAGGGTTAGGTAGTGATACTAAATCCAAAGTCCACACTTGACAGGGTGTGCCACAGTGTGCAGCATCAGAGAGAAGGAAATTCATCCCTGGTCTAATTTTATTGAGTTTAAATCATTCCCTCCCACCATGATAAAGGTCACACGTTCCCCCCTCAACTCCTTTCTAACAAAAATGCCTCAAGACACAGATAGAGCTTATTTCAGACTCTGTTTCTACAAGCCAACAGCTGATTTTTGGATTAGTGTGTCCACACAGAACTTCAAGTTCTTCAGGTAAGAAGTACATGAAGAAGCAGTGTTACCAAGTTAAATTCTCCCTTCCCCCCCTTTTTTCCTCCTCACAAACACATCTGTCAACACTTACATCTACAGAGCACCAGGATGTGCTGATGCATTAAATAGCCCAGCAGGTGAACTGGCTGTCGCAGGAGTGTTTGGCAATAACCCCATAGTTAAGTACAACGTAAGTGCTGTAGTTAATAGGGCAGTAACATCAGAATGGATTTGCAGTGCTGACAGTTCAGATTCTAACACCAAACACGGGAACATCAAGTAAAAGCAGCACATCCCCAAGTTTGTATTTATCCTCATTTCCCAAAAAGCATTTGAAATTAATAGTCTCTAACATTCCAAATTAGCACATCTCAAAATCCCTGTGAAACTACCAGATGCATTATCTACTTTAGCTGTATCAAAGCAATGCACATCATGTATTTCCAGACAATTAAAAATAGAAAACATGCATTCCAATTTATAGGACTGTGCTTTTTACCTGCCAGTGGCTATGTTGTTCAGTTGCTGCTTATCATTTTTGCTGCTGCTGTTTCATTTTCCTTCAAGCTTTGCATCACATTATTTTTGCAACATCTTACCTAGACCCTGTCTAAAACCACTTTGCTTTTGGAGTCATTAATACACTCAGAGAGCTTTACAGAACTCCTTAGGGCCACAAGCTCAGATGATGTTCCATCATCTCACTTCCTTCATCCTTCCCAAGGCAGAGACCGAGTCCCAAGTGTGAAGCCAGAACTCACACTGACAGCAGAAAATGTCTCTTGGAAGCAGCAAACAGTCAATTAAAGAATAGCTTCACACAAAGGGTGAATAAATAAGCCACAGATTATTATTTACTTGAAAATAGTATTAAAATTCCCCTTAAGCACATAGAGTTTTAAAGTCTGAATCAACACCTGGTGTGTGAAGGGTAAACACATTTGTTGCAATACAAAATATTAAGCTTTCAGCCTCTAAAGCCTTCAGAGCAGTGACTGGACTATGGTCTTGATGGGAGATTAAGACACTGAAGAAATACAGGTCTAAACCTCAGTCTCTTGAAGATTTTATGAAGATTTATGTATTTACTTACTGTTTCTTAGATTCCAAGCAGCACACTATCCTGATCTAATAATGAAAATGATATTCAATGGATCATAATGCCAGAAAGGTCCATTATGCTAATCCAGTGCAATCTTCTGTGTAGTACGCTGCCACGGATTTCATCCAGAGATTGCAATGCTTGACTGGAGTTAGAACTTAACCTCTAAGTGCTTGTTATCTCTAACATCAAACTTGGTGCTCTAATACAAAACCCAACAAATAAATGCCAAGTTCACAATTTACAAACACTCTACTAAAATTCCCTTACTAGAAAGACATAAAAATGACAGTAAAGCAAGTTTTCCTCTTCTTCATACTGGAATATAGCCAGTTATTTTACCACTAGATCTACCTCAGATTTAAATTAATGTAAAAGACAAGATCATTTGAAAGCACTGAGGAGCATGATGTGAATGCTCCTCATTTACAATTCCTATGGGGAGAAGAATAAAGAAGTTATTTCAAGCTTTTTTGCATCCAGATAAAACCATTTGTGGTCTTACAACTGCAAGAAAAGCCATTTAGAAGATTCACTGACTTGTGTCAGGTAAAATACTAGTGACAGACTGTCACAGGAGATCACAGGATACCTTCATGTGGGGGTTTATTCAATTTTCAGACTTAAAAAATGCATTCATTTATCGACAGGATTGATCTGAAAGACAGGGACAACAAAAGAGGCAACAGAAGCCAATCCTTCTGTGGCCAGCAACTGCTGGGTATGACACTCCGCAGCCGTTATCATAACTGACCATTTGGTGGTTTGAATATTTATAAGCATTTCCCTGCACTGTCACTCTTGTTCCCATTGAACACCAGCTTCCATTCAATCACTGCCATTTTCCCAAGATTTCTCTCAAAAAAAAAGGCACTAAGGGATTGACTTCCTCTCCATTTTCCACACAGAACCTGTGTGGCAGAAGCACCGAGCAGAGAGCACCTGATGTGCGTGTTTTACTATATAGAACCACACCATTTTACTCCAGCTTCCTTAAATAGGGACAAGAGAGGAAACAGTTCTTTTTTTGGACCTGGTGACAAGTACTCCCATGGTACACAAAGAATTCTGACAAGTGTTTTGGCAGAGGACAAGACATCCTCATACCTTTATAGTCACCCATCTAAGAGCTTGTAGTTAAAAAAGTAAGTGTCTGTGTTTGACTTTGAAAGTTACAGTTATGTCTTGTACCAGTGCCAAAAGCGCATCCCAAAGGGCTCTACACATTTATTTCACATGCATTTAGTAACACTGACAGTAGACTGAGGGCAGATAGAGTGCACAGAGAGGTTTTGTGAGCACCATAAGAGCAGCCATCCTCTTACGCTGTAATTCAAACCAGGCTGACCCATGAGGCCAGTCCCTGCACCTATCCAGTAGTCATCTCCATCGTGATGTTATTGCTTTGGTTTAGGATAAGTGCAGGAAATCAATGCACCCAAGGAGCAGAAGTTGAGTCAGCCCTTCTCTGACAAAGTGTTTCAGTACTAATACACCTAAGGTATATTTTTTCCTCAGAGAAAATCCTCTCCTTTAACTTGTCTCTCACCATGAGTTTATCTTTTGAAGAGGACCAAACCACTTGGGTTTATAGAGTTAAATCACAAAGGTATTAGGCATGGAATATCTGACCATAACAATGAGGTTACAGCAGAAGACATGCAGCTGTGCTTGGTGCACAGAAGAGTTTTCTAAATTGAGTATTTCTCCAAGTTTTCCACGGAAAAATTACAGCGCTCCTCAGTGTGACAATGCAAAATAAACAGCGCAGCTTCTGAGCAGAACTGTCATGACTTAAACCTTCCAAACTGCTCCTCGGTCTCAGAGGCAGACGCCAACATTCCTCTATCTGCTTATTTGCTTAACTGTTCAAAAAGGCTGCTTTCTAAACAAATTATAGAGGTAAGTACCTTAATGCCATGTTATTCTCATTACTGAGGCACCAGCCCACATACTCGCTTTGGCAAATCAAACACAGGCTCTTGTTTGTTGCACAAGTGTAATTACAACACAGGTTTCTGCTAAACTACAAGGAAGTCTAAAGTAACACTTATGTGTAGTTATGAGTTTTTGCTCAGAAACTGAATTTTACTACCACAAAAAAAATAAATGAATGTTGTTTTCTCTCTCGAGGCTGTTTGTGGGACTAACCTCTTTACATTGAAATTACAAGAGACTCACTACAATCTAAATTTTGTTTAAAAACAATAGTGGTATTTTCTGAAGAGCTGCTTGGAAAGCAAATTTCACTTAATGGTTACAGAGAAGCATGTTTACACACCAGTTAGAGTAAAAGTGTTCAAAACAGCAGCTGGGAGAAAGTCAGGAGACATTTGTTGGGACAACAGGGCTTGGTTTCTCACAGCCTCTGCACCTTTCATAACTGGTACATCTTAAGAACGAAGCAGGATCTTGCCTGCCAACACACCATCATGTCTGCTTTACACACACACACACAAACCACAACCAAGATGCAATTCAGATGAAAAGAAAAATCCCCAACAAACCCCCAAATCCATAGGGATCAATGATCAGTGTAAATTTTGCTGTTATGAAGATTAGATACAGTAAACGCTGGATCTTACCGTTAGCATTTTTCCCACAGATGAGATGCTCGTAAGGTTGCAGCACTCCCCAAAGTTCAGCATCATTGTTGATAACCATCTCCAGGATTTCAGCTGAGATCTCCCCTCCTCCACCATCTGGGCTCTGACTTGCCAAAACCCTAGCTTTAATCTCTTCTACAAGGTTTTCCATGCAGGCAGTTAAAGAGATGGCTGCGTATTCATGGATCCTAACCGAGATCCTAGTGTCCACCATCCACCTGAAAAACCTCCCCACTGAGAAGGTGAGGCCACATCTGGCTGATTTACCTTTCCTCAGTCCGTCTCCAGCGCTCATGCTGTACAAAGAAAGAGCCTTGACGGTGGCCAAGACACAGCTTTCTGACAGTGACCAGCTTTGGATGAGCTTGATAGCACTCTGCACCTCAAACCTGGTGCACTTGGAGTGCATCACGCTGAGCCGCTGAGCTTCCCTGGAGACCCTGATCAAGGCGCGCCTCAGTAACTGCGAGAGCCGCCTGACAGCTTCCTGAGAAAAGGTTCTGGTGTTGCCATCTCCCTTCCCTTTTCGGAGTATTTTTCCAATGTCTTCATCAGTCCAAGGGTATTCCTCTAGATCCGGCAGCTTAGGACACTTGGAAAAGATATCTGCAACCTCGGGGTCTTCCGGCAGAACAGTGTTCACGGTATCCCAGCTGTTATTCCTACTGTTCATGGAGCCCGAGTAGTACCACCAGTTGCCTCTGTGCTGAGAAGAGGTGAAGGCTTGGGAGTTGGACTTGGAAGAGGAGAGACTAAGGGACCTGCAGGAATCCCCTGCCCCATAACCAGAGTCCAAGGTTAAATCCTCCAGGGTCTTCAGAGTAGAGCTGTATATCCCAGCCATAGGAAAGACGGGTTAAGCCAACGACGAAGAGCACGAAAGGTGAGGCTGGCGCAGATCCCTCCTGCTCCTAC